CATTAAGCTTTGCAATATTGGCATAAATATGTACCTAAATCATCATCATCTTCACTATTTTTCCACTACAATCACTACCACTATAAGGATCATCATTTCAATCTGTTATCACCACCATCATAATAGTTTCATTCTTAGCAATTCCTTCATTAGCTAGAACATATTAAAGAAGGATAAAGAAGAAATTTGATGACTTTTCATCTAAAAGCCCCAAAATGTTCTCAATTTCTTTCAATACATTTAGAGCCCATTTGAAAAAGTTACAAAAATAAATATCATTTCACACATTGATGAAAACTTTCACCAAATAAAAACATGAACACTTCATTCTGCTAACTGAACATAAATTGTGGGAAAATACTTATTTACAATTGGTTGTAATCTTGTAATCTGTATATTTATATTTGTTTCTCTAGAATTAAGTATTTGCATTCCTAGAATTAAGGATAAAAAATTAGAATAGACAATCCCTTAATTATAAGATCGATTTTAGGAAGATTTAGTTTCCTAGTTTATCCACTAGTTAATTGTTTATAAACTTAAGATGCTTGTATAATTCTTTATGAGCAGTTTTTCAATATACATTCAGTTTTACTCTTAGTTTTTCACATAGTTTTATTTCTTAGTTTTTTCACATGGTATCAGAGCTTTAGGCTCTTCTTGGGAAAAAAAATTTTTTAGCCTTCATTACTGAATTCTATTTTAAGCCTTCATAGCCAAATCTTGTTAAATCTTTTAGTCTTATTTTTTTTTCTTTAGCCTTCATTGCCTAGAATCATCTCTGGTTAAACATTTACTATCAAGACTCATTTTGGTTCTGAGAAAAATAATCATGTCAGAGATAGCAAAATATACCACTACTACTCGATTTGAGGAAGAGACAACTAGTAAAACCACTGAAGTACTACAAAGTCTCGAGAACAAAGGGAGTTGAACAAAAAAAAGATTGAGAAACTAAGAAGCCTATTGAAGACTCTCGAAAAGCCTACTGTGGCATGTTATTTGGGTAAGATTTCTAGTTCAGGTAAAACTTCTAGTTCTCATGGATTAAATATCTCGATTAAGCACGTTACGAGTTATTAGGTCATTGACTCAAAAATCACATACTATATGACACATTCCTCATATAAGTTTAGTACATATACCTTGTGTCCTAGTAATAAGAAAATTGTTGTTGCAGATAGTTCACTTACTATAGAGACAGGATTAGGAGATGTTCAAATTAATCCCTTGTTTGTTTTTAAAAGTATTTTTTATGTTCCTAGATTGTCTACTAATATGTTATCTATACAAAAACTTACTAGAAACATGAACTACAAGTGACATTTTATCCTTCTTATTGTGAATTTCAGGATCAGAGTTCAAAAAAAAGATTGGACTTACTAAAGAGAATGATGGACTATACTATTTTAAGACATCAAACCACACAAATAATATCAAGAATAGTTTACCTTTATTATTTCTTTCTGAAAAATCTCCTAATAAAAATAATTTTTGGCTTTATCATTTCGTCTTAGACATCTTTCTTTTGAAACTTTAAAAAACATGTTTCCTTATTTGTTTAAAGGATTAAATGCCAAAAATTTTCATTATGATGTTTGTGAACTTGCAAAACATATACATGTGTCTTTTTTAGTTAGCAATAAAAGAAGTTTTACTCTTTTTTACTTGATTCATAGTGACATATAGGGTCCCACTACAAGTCCTAATATTTTCAGTGCAAGGTGGTTTGTTTCTTTCTTAGATTATTATACCATGGTCTCTTGGATATTTTTACTTAAATCCAAATCAGATGTGAATAGTATACTTTTAAGCTTTCAAAACATGATCCAAAATCAATTTTGAGTGAAAATCAAATGATTTAGGTCTGATAATGCAAGAGACTATTTCAATCAGAGTTTATCTACCTATTTTCAAAAAGAAAGAATTATCCATGAATCATTTTGTGTTAATACTCTATAATAGAGTGGAGTGGTAAAGAGAAAAAATAGTCATTTACTAGCCACAACCCGAGCTTTACTTTTCAAGCAAACGTACCAAATCCTACAAGGAAGAAGTTATTCTCACTGCTACATATATTATTAATAAGTTACCTTCAAGGGTTTTAGGATTTAAAGCTCCTATGGAACTACTCTCACAATTCTATCTCAACTTTAATACCACAAACAACCTCACATCTAGGATATTTGGTTGTACATCATTTGTTCATGTTCACAGTCACAATAGGGAGAAGTTGGATTCTAAAGCAATTAAGTGCATTTTTGTGAAATATTCATCAATTTAGAAAGGGTATAAGTGCTATCCTCTTCCTACCAAAAAATTTTATGTGTTTATAGATGTTACTTTTGAAGAAAGTAAATCATTTTTTACTCAACCTTATATTCAGAGGGAGACTTTTTCATGAAAGATAATGATAAAACTTTTTTTTTTGCTTGATTTATCATCCTCTTTAATATTTTCACCCATTAATTCTTATGAATCGAAACCTGTTTATTCTGAGTCTAAGTCAAACACTGAATTTGAGTCTGAACCTATTCCAAACACAGAGGATGTGACAAAGAAAATATTGTTCTTAATTTTATGAAAAAATTACAGGTGTACTCAAAAAGAAAAGTTTCAGATCCTGAACTAGTGCAAGTTCAAGAACCTGATCCTAACTTTGGAAATGAGGTAACTACAATCTTTGACTCTATTTTTCAAAATGAGCATAAATCCTCTAAAACTATAACTAATGATTATGATCTGCCTATTGTCATTAGGAAAGGAACCAGAGAATATACTAAGCATCAACTATACTCGATCTCTAATTTTGTGTCATTTGAAAAATTCTCACCATCCCACAAAAATTTTCTTGTGAGTTTAAACACTATTTTTGTTTCAACTACATTATCCGAGGCATTATCTAGTGAGAAATGAAGGCAAGCCATGAAAATAGAAATAGAGGCCTTAGACAAAAATAAGACATGGAAATTGGTAGCGTTGCCTAAAAGAAAAAATTCAATTTGATGTAAATGAGTTTTCACTATAAAATACAAGGTAGATGGTACTGTTGAAAGGTATAAAGCCAGATTGGTGGCTAAAGGCTACACTCAAACTTATTAAGTGATTTATCAAGAAACTTTTGCTCTAGTTATCAAGATGAATACGGTTATAATTTTGTTATCATTGATTGCAAATTACAATTGGCAGCTTCAATAATTTGATGTAAAGAATACTTTTCTACATGATGATTTGGAATAAGAAATATATATGAAGCTTCCAATGGGATTTAGAGTTCATCTAGAATAAAAAAAAGTACATAAGTTGAAAAAAGCTTTATATGGCCTTAAACAATCTCCTAGGGCTTGGTTCGGGAGATTTGTCAAAGTGATGCTAGCAATGGAATATAAACAGAGTCAAAGGGATCACACATTATTTATCAAGCATTCTGATTCAGGGAGAGTCACAGTTCTATTAGTATATGTTGATAATATAATTGTCATTGAAGATAATGAAAAAAGAAAGAATCTTTAAAATAATGTTTGGCTAGCGAATTTGAGATAAAAGAGCTAAGGAGATTGAAGTGCTTTTTAAGAATTGAAGTAGCTCATTCATGGCATGGTATTTTCATCTCACAATAGAAATGATGAATCTTTTGAAAAAAACTAAGAAGTTCACATGTAAACCTGTAAATACCCCTAGAGATCCTAATCATAAACTTAGATAAACTAATGAAGATGTTGCTGTAGATAGAAAGATATACCAAAGATTAGTTGGAAGACTTATTTATCTCTCACATACTAGACCTAATATAGCATATGCTGTGAGTGTAATAACTCAATTTATACATAATCTTAAAGAAGTGCACCTACAGGCTGTCTACCATATATTGCACTATTTAAAGGTCAATTCTAAGAGAGGTATCTTATTCAAAAGAAATTCGAGACTAGTTTTAGAGGCATATACAAATGCTGATTATGCAAGTTCAGTAACTGATAAAAGATCTACCTCAGGTTACTACACTTTCTTAAGTGGTAATCTTGTGACTTTAAGGGATAAAAAACAGAATGTGATGGCAACATCAAGTGCAAAAGCAGAGTTCAGAGCAATGGTTCAATAATTTGTGAACTACTATATTATCCTAGAAGACTTGAAGGTCAAGTGAGATGGACTAATGAAGCTCTACTGTGATAACAAGTCTGCAATAAGCATTGTAAACAATCCTGTGCAACATAACAGAACAAAACATATTAAAGTAGACTGATATTTCATAAAGGAGAAACTAGACAGTTGGTTGATTTGTACACCGTATGTATGAACCAAAGGTCAACTTACAGATGTGTTGACTAAAAGTCTCAGCAGTACAACATTTTAAGAAATTATTTTCAAGCCATTAATGAAAAACACTTATTCACCAGCTTGAGAGGGAGTGTAAAAAAAACATTTATTTAAAGCTGATTGCAATAAGCTGATTGTATTCTTATAATCTGTATATTTATATTTGTTTCTCTAGAATTAAATATTTGTATCCTTAAAATTAATGACAAAAAATTAAGATAGACAATTCCTCAATTATAAGATTAGTTTTAAAAAAATTTAGTTTCTTAATTTACCCACTATAAACCTAAAATGTTTGTATAATTCTTTATGAGCAATTTTTTAATATACATTTAATTTTACTCTTAGTTTTTCACATAATTTTATTTTAGTTTTTCCACATAAATCAATGATTCAAGTCTCTTGTAGTGATCAAGTCAAAGTCTAACATAGCTAAACACAATACACATCAACCAATCAGTGTACTACGTTTTTGTGCCACATTGGAGCAGTTTAGCCTTAGTCCAACAAAGAGTTCAAAATGAAATCAATCAATAAATAGCAGAAGCCATAGCTTTTTCTTTTCAGGCTCTTACATAGAGTTATTCAACTAAAATTTACTATTAATTCCTATGAAAAAAAAAGTACTATTAATTGGTGTCTTCATCATTGATAATAAATGCAAGGAAGTTTAAGATGTAAAGTATTTCCCAGTCCATTCTATCCAACTTTATCATACAAAAAGTAAGAGCAATGTGGAGTTTTATTAACCCAAAAGTAGAAATCAAGTAGCGATTGAATAACAAATGCAAACACACTTGGTACTTATGGTTCCTGCAATCTGACTGTTCGTTGTTGCTGATTCAGTGATGTGATTATTCGCCTCGTTTGAAGCATGAGTAACTGAGATAGCTGTATAGGGTGTAGAATCAGTAGGATTGCTATGAGAAGAACCTTGACCTGAGTGTGACAAATCTTGCTTAATATCCCTGTTGCGGTTATGAAAGCGATAATAAAGAATAGGAAGTGTTGCATTGTGGCTTTTCATTTCTTGACAATGACAAACAACGATAGATGTTATAATCTGACTGAAAGTACCAACTAACTCAACAGAAATCCATAATTCAGAATTTAAAGGGCTCCTGCGACGTCAACCATACCCATCATTTCTCCTCATGAATGATGAACTCCTAGAGTTTAATCTGTTTGAGGAAGCAGTCTGATTAATGGGAGCTTGTGTGCCGCTAGAAGGCCTATTTTCATTCTGTTCTAAGTTCACTCCAGAAGGTTGTTCACCCTGAGACGAGCTTGAAGAAGTATCATCATGCCTTGTTATGTCAATGATGTGCTCTTGATCAATATGGCTTTCCACTCGTTCCATTAGCAAAGGATAGTGGTCAGTTTGCTTACCGCTTTCTTCTGGAGAGAAGCTGCCCATCGAAGTCTGGCAACCCAATTAGAAGGTGCTAAAACATAGGTCGCTTATAGACTTTCCAGATATCTATTGCTTTCCCCCTCCAACGTTGATAGGCGTGTCAAGCAACTTAAACCACTTGGCACTGCAATATCTATAAATCCACCAACTTTATTCCCTCTTTACACAAAAGCTGCCATGAAATCAAGCGTAGAATCAATTTTTACATGAATCATGTCAACAAAACCCATGTCTTGAAATTTTAGAGAGAGCCTCGACTTGTGTGTAGCAATTATAACATGGCTACGACACTGCATAATTGGTGAGTTAAATTGAGCAGCACCAGCTCATCAAAATGATGCATCAACAGCATAACAGACGACAAAGCAACTACAACATATATAGGACTGCACTCACCACAAATACATTAATAAATAACTTCAAATCATCTTTCGAGATTACCACTACAAAAACAAAAGAAACTAGATCCTTAAACAATAAAATACAGCATAACAGGGACGTTAAGCATCAACAAGACCTTCTGAAGAAAAGGTCATATATTTCCACACAAAACTCATACAAAACCAAACTAAAACTACTCATAAATAAAAGCCCAAGCAAAAAAAAAAAAAAAGAACTTTTCAAAAGATCATGATTAAAGTAAACTAACATTACATTTCCAGCAATAATTTTGATAACCCATAACTTTATTCGCATAATATTTTCTCAAGAACTTGGCTTCAACTGAAAATAAATAAAAGTTCAATCTTTTAAACATTTATGCTATTTTTCTAAGCGAATTAAAATCTAACAAAATTGAAAACCCATTATCAATTTTGCAGAATCAAGTTAAATTAATAGGAAAGTAAAGCCCTAAATTAATTAAATGGAAAAAAAATCGAGTAAAAAGGCTGGAACATTACCTAAGATTTTGAATAAGAAATATCTGATAGTATATGAAAGTAAATAAAAAAGAGAAGTGCCAGCAGATAAACTGATAAGCCCCCTTCTTTTGCTTTAATTTTCTCGGAAAATACAGCGTCAGCTTTTCTGCTCCATTGCTTACGCCAAAACAGTGAGAGAGGGAGAGAGCAAGCTTTTCTTTTTCCTTTTTCTTATTATTATTATTATTTTTTGTTTTTTGGATTGGAAAGAAAAAGAATAGAGAGAAGTAGAAATAAGTAAGAAACTTTGTGGACCGTTTCATTGAGTGAATTCAGATCAAAGTGGTTGAATTTTCCTCCATCACGGATCTAACGGTTTAGATCTATTTAAGAGACCACAAATAAAAATCATGAAAACTCAAAAGTTTAAAACTATAAGGTTTTTTTTTCTCCATCATGTGTAAAATTTGCCACATGCTAATTTCCTCCATCACGGATCTAACGGTTTAGATCTATTTAAGAGACCACAAATAAAAATCATGAAAACTCAAAAGTTAAAACTATGAGGTTTTTTTTTCTCCATCATGTGTAAAATTTGCCACATGCTAATTGCATAAAAAATATTTTTTTTAGTTTAAAAAAAAAAGAAAGATATTTTATTTATGTGACCACGGAGAAAAAATGTAAATTACATAAAAAAAACCCTTTAAATTATGAACTTTTTCATGTAAAGGAATTATAAATTTCAAAATATTGCAATTTTATTTTTTTTATTTTCCATGGAATAGTTTTGCTCACTTTCATTTCCTTTACTCTTTGAATGATTCCTTTACTCGTTGAATGATTGTAATTTTTTAAAAACAAAAAGAAAAAAAATTGAGGAGGATAGGCTTCGCTTTATATAACAATAGTAAAAAGAGACAAAGAGTAGTTGATTGGAGTGATGAAATTAAATGAAAAAGGACATGTTTAGAAAGAAAAATAATTAAGAAAAAAAAAGTTTAGACCTCTTCGGTCAAAAAATATGCAATTTCTTCTTTTAAAACCTTAACTACTTATTATATTTTAATTTTATTATTACACTTTTAAATTGTTTAATTTTTTAATAAAAATAATTAATTTGAAATATTTATAAAATATTCTACTAATACATGTCAAATTTAAATAAAAAATTACACACCAATTAATGACATGATCCAAGATTTTTAAAAAATATTTAGTTATAATATATATAAAAAAATATTTACGACTTATTAATTTTACAAATATAATGGTGTTCAAAAAAAAATTTTGAAGATGTCGAAATAAAATTTCTCATTAAATTTTTTTTTTTTTACTTTTCCATTTTTGGGAGTGTTCATTAACACTCCTCTATATGTGAATATGCCATTGACACTTATCATTGAGTTAAATTTTCATCCGCAATCTTAAAAATCTATTTGATTGAAATAATTATTTGAAACAAATTATTGAATGAATGACAAAGCTTTTTAATTTGAAATTGTTAGGAGATGATTTTGCATTAAATTGTATAAAAAAATTTTTTTGCAATTTTTGCTTCAAATTGTATAAAAAATAAGAACTTTTCACAATTTTTTTATTTAATAATGGTTAAAAAAAGTTATGATATAAAATTGTAGCATAATTGGAAAGAAAAATAGAAAGTGATAACAAAGTAAAAGATGAGAAAAAAATTATATTTATACAGTAATTAAATTTAACAGGAGAGTTGTTTAGATTTTTTTTTTTTTTTGGAAAAGATCCTTTCTACTACTTAAAAATTTGTGAAAATTTTTACTATTTTATCTAAGGGTGATAAATGAACTTTCAACTAAATCTATGGTTAAAATTTAATAATTTAAACTAAATAAAAAAATAAATAAAAAAATAATTAAAATGATTAAAATGGTTTGAACAAATAGTCATTATAAATTTAGTTGAAAGTGCATTTATTACTTTTAGAAGAAATAGTGAAAACTTCTATTGATTTTTAAGTAGCGGAGAGGATCCTCCCCCTTTGTTTTCAATGTTTTAATAAAATGTCATAAAATATAAACAATCATCATGTTGAACTAAGAGTTTTAATCTCATGAATTAAATTTCAAATTATCACAAAATACTCAGCTCAGCTACAACTACGTGCTCGATTTTAGTTAGGTTGGCTAAATTAAGTGTCAATTTTAGTTGCAGCATGGTTATCACCTTTTTTTGCTACTTTTTTTTGTAGTAGGCATTGGAAGCTTAGCTAGATGAAATGCCACCTACATGGTGCTCCAAAATGTTGGTGCTAAGCTGACTAAAGAAGGTAAAGACATGAAATTACAAGTATAAGGTTGGTCAAGGACAAAGGCTTAAAGTATCTCCAATGTTTATACTTCGATGCCTAAATCAATGCTCGAAAGAGAGAGAGAGAGAAATAAGGGAATTTAAAGAGAGTGTAGGAATTGATCGACTATACTTGAAATGAGAAGGGTATGTATACCTAAGAGGAAAGACTTCTAGATTTTGGCTATCCAAGCTTTTTGAGTCAGGTTAAGTGCTAACAAGGTTGACCTATCCTAACATGGCATGAGAGGAACCAATGGGAAGATGACTAATCAGCGTGTCCATGTGCAATCAAGTGGGATGTTAAGCTAGCCAAGTCGATATGAACTCTGATAATTTAGGTCGGCTCGCCACGTTAACTCAACTCTAATGACCAAAATGTCCTTGATTTATTGATGAGTCATCATTTACGTAAAAAGATAGTTATACCTTTTTTACCATAAAATGTCCCTTACAATTAATATAACTTAACTATAATCACAAATTATTAACAAAAAAGCAAATAAACAAACAATATTTTAAATACTTCAAATGAAAATTTTTAACTTTTTTATAAAAATTTATTGATTTTAAAATTTATAATCTAATCTTAAAAAATTAAATCATGTTTTTTCTTCTATGCTTGCAAATAAAAGAGGAAATTGAAAACTTTATAATTTAACTCCATACATTGTCAAGTGAAGAAAATGCAAATCCTTCTCTATGTTTTCCATAAAAAAATGAAAACAAGTTTCCTTCTTCACTAATCAACCTATGCATTGTCAACCTCCCTTTTTACCTCTAGTTCTAAAATCCAGTTTTAGATTCACAATGTTATTTAAAAATCCAAACCTAAATATTGAAATAATAACTTATCAAAATATCCAAAAATTAATAAATTTGACTAAATTTTAATATAATTAAATAAAAACATAATCAATGTATTTTGCTTTTTAGCCTATAAGCTAAGAAGGCTTAAGAAGATATGTAAGGCGAAAGTTTAAACCCTATCATCCCATCTTTTTTTTGTAGAAAAAATAACACAATCAATAAAATCAATCCAAAGTCACAAGGTAGTGAAAATCTATTTTGAAATGTGTCAATGGTATTTTTGGGACAATGAGAATATGTTTTGTTTGAAGCATGTTGGGAAGTTGATTAAAAGGTAGAGTGACCTGAAATGAGAGGGCATCATATGTAAGAATCCAAAACACACTTAAACACTAAAATCAACAAGTAAAGAAGGTAAGAAAGGTATAAAATGAGGTAGAAAGAAGAAGGTAGAAGAAGACGAGAATATATGAAAGTAAATATAAAGGTTAGAATGATGTACTTGTATTCCAAACCTTAGCTTTTTATAGTGTGGATTATAGCTTAAATGTGGAGATATGGCTAGTTAGGTTGTTGTTTAAAAAAATTAGGTCAATTAAGTTGATCATTTGCCTAGCAATCAATTGGTGTTGACTAGGTTGATCACTTATTTGACGATTGGTAGGTATTGACTTGACGATCAAGACATTGAATGGACAATCAAGATATAACAAAATGTGAAATTGGGTTATATGACTTTTTAAATAAATAATGTTTATAAATTTTCATAAAGAAATAGTCAAATTTACCCATTTTCAAGTATTTGAAGTAATATTTATTTTATTTATTTCATATTCATAATTTGTGGTTATAATTGAACCACATCAAAATTTCATGGTAACTCCCATAAAAGCAAAAGCATGACATCAAAACTCATTAAGGGGGTACATGGTTCGTAGTTCTTAGATTCCAGGAAAAGTGATATTGAAAAAAATGTGATTTCTAAGTTTAGTGACCTTAGGGAACACAAAATTTTTGCATTTGGTTAGAAGAATATAAGATTATTTAATAAAATCTTTTATTATGTTATCCTTGATAACACATGAATAACATATGGTATTCATAACATATGACACATGAATAACAAGTGATTTATTTAAATTTTTATTTATTTAACATGTAAATTATTCATTTAATATTTTTGTTAAATTATTTAATTAATCAATTCTTTTGATAAAATATTTTTCACAAAAATTGCGTTTTCGTTGAAACTAAAGAATTCTTAAATATAAAATTTTTCGTATTTTTAACTAAAATTGTGTTTTTTATCCTAAAAATGTTATTTTCATTTAAACTAAAGAATTTTGAAATATAAATTTTTTTATATTTTAAATTAAAATTGTGTTTTTTATCTTAAAAATATTGTCTTTGTTGAATTATGAAAAATAAATTTGTTTTCATATTTTCAACAAATATTGTGTTTTTATTTTAAAAACATCATTTTTGTTGAATTATGAAAAATAATTTTTTTCATATTTTTTATACAGAGCACATTTGTTTTTTAAAAATATTATCTTTGTTGAATTCTGAAAATAATTTTTTTCATAATATATTTTCAACAAATATCATGTTTTTAATCTTAAAAACATCGTTTTTATCAAAATTAACTATTAAAAGCAAAATATAAAATTACTATGTTTCTAAGATAGATAACATTATTTATGTAATTTGAAAATGTGATTAAGTGAGGGTAAATAAGAAAAATAATTAAGAAGGATAATATATACCTAATTGTTAATAACAAGTAACATCCAACTCTATTGTCATTAATCAATCTAATCCAAATACATAAATATACAATAAGAGATTTTACTGATAAGTTATTCTAAATAACATGTATAATGATAAGAAAATATATAATCATTTGAATAACATGAGTCTTGATAAGAAATTATTTTAAATTATGTATAAAGTCAAAACAATATATTAGACATTTGAAATTAAGAACATTACATATTCTAAATAATTATAGTTGTTATTTTACTATTTTAAATATGTATTATCGAGTATTTTGTTAATTGAAGATATTATGGTAAATAAATATTATGGAATATATTTGAAAATTATTATAAACAACACACAATTTGGTTATTTGTGAATTATTT